AGTAACCTCAGTTAGTGACGGAGGACCTGTATCTATATCCCATTCAGGGAGGTGTTGGATGCTCGGAAGGTTGAGCGTGGCTGTGGGCAAATTAAACTGCTCCTCATAATGCTCTTTCCAACGATCCAGTCGTCTATCCTGTGAGCTAATTATAGTGCCATTTTTTTCCGAGATTGTCTCACTAATGATTTGTCTTCTCCCACCCGTTTCCCTGATGAGTCCAAAGAGTTGCCTGGTGTTGCCTATCCTCAAAGCTTTCTCCATCTCTTTGGCTTTTGTCGCCCACCACTGTTCACGGTCCTTGCGGAGACTTTTCGTAAGTTTCCTCTTGTGCAGCTTTCGCTCCTCATTGAATTCGGAGCTCGCCGGAATAAGTCTTCTAGCATCTATCAGTTCGGATGAGGCGGTGGAGATCCAGTGGTTTTTACTCACCTTTGGGTTTACCTTATTCACAGCTTTTACAGCTGTATCTATGGCTGCCTGGATATTTTTCCAAGCTTCTTCAGGGTGAGCACAGCTGTCGAACACAGATATGTGTTTAGCTAGTTCTTCCTGAAATACGGATTTAGTTTCCTGATCGAGCTGGGGACGTGATGGTTTTACCGCCAGCTGTTTCCTACGTCCGTTCAGTCGTAAGCACACCCGAGCGCGGACCAGTGCATGGTCGGTATCTACGCACGTGTTCCAGAAGGAGCGACAATCTCCTACCGACCCACGCCAACGATAGCTTATTGCTATGTGGTCTATTTGTGTCCAGCGTTGGTTTGATGAAGGGGGTCTCCAAGTCAAACAGTGTCTCTCCTTGTGTTTAAAGTTAGTGCTTACAAGAAACAAATGATTATCAGAGCAGAACTGTAGGAGACGGTCACCGTTGTCGGTTCGCTGGCACGGAACTCCATAGGTGCCACCGACATCCTTCTCAGATTGACACAATTTCCCTACTTGAGCATTAAAGTCACCAGCTAGAACGACTATGTCTGAGCGTTTAGCCTTTCCCATGAATTATTTGAATATAATAGTGATATATTGCAAATCGACTGAAGAGAGGAAACATGGACTTTCCTTGAATGACAAGATTTAACGACTATATATGTACTGATATTAATATTGTTTTCAATTAGATCTCATCAAGCTGAACTCTAATATATCCCTCTCTTGGCCTATTAAGACATAACCAACTGATGACTTCTACACCACCCCTTAGGTGTATTTTCAACCCCTCTCTTATTATCCCTAAATCTTATCACATCTCCATTAGAAACGCGTTTTATTTACTTCCCTTACAATCTAGCATTACCTAATCGGTTAATTTGTTTTTCTTAGCCTTTACCGACTACTCCGTCTACCTGAACATTTGTTTGTTTAGTCATGCTGTTTTTCGTTATTCTTGTTATCACAGATCGCCTCACTTTTTTATCCTTGTTATTGATAGAACCATTATTATTATTATTATCACTATTATTAGGACTAATCGAACAATTTATATGCACAATCTTATTATCCTATTGACAAAACATTGTGATTGGTTTATATTTGAATTTAATTTGTAAAGTTATATATATTAGAGTTGAGCCTGATGAGATCTAATTGAAAAGTTTTGTTCGCTTAAATTTCTTGTTCTAAATACATATATCCATCACATTTAAGATGCATTTGTTCATAGAAAAGATGTTGCAGATTACATGGGGAGGTTTGAGGTGAAACAAGATAGAGTGGAAGCAATAATATTCATCTTTCATTGTTTACCAGATGATATCAGTTCACAAATAAAAATTCACATGGAATCAGTTCATTATAAATACGTTCAAGGAATCAAAGGATTATGTGTCAGCACTTTCGTAGAGAGATGGTGACGCATTCTATTGCTTTTGATAATACTCAGTGGAGTAGGGATGCATTTAAGTGGAATGACCCATTTAGCAAGAAGCATGCGTTGTAATCCTCAATGATATTCATCAATATGTAAATAAGATTATGGGCAATCGTGAACAGAAGAAAATAGAACAAAGTAGAGATGTGTCGTTGAAGCCCTATGTTCCACTTGGAACCCAAGGGAATAGTAATAACAATAATAATAATAATGTAAATAACCTAACCTGTGTACTAACAAGGACCAGTTGAATAGGTTTAATAAAGTGAAATAAGTAATGTGGTATCACAGGTGGCTTTCAGGGGGACAAAATGAAAATTCATCCTCGGGGTCGCGATTTATCCTGAGTCATATTATCTAATGTCTAAAAAATTATTGACTTTGTTTATTCCATTAAGCCGATGTAAAACTCTACATTACAATACACAATTCTTAATAATTAGGAAAGATTTAACTTTCTGATGTTACATTCTTCTAAAACGTGTTTATTTTTACCTTACTTCCAATACCCTACATTGATTCACAAGTGAAACGGTCCAAAACTAATATAACTGTTCAAACTGAACTATGTATAATACGCCCTGCATATAAACTAATATTATAAACTCACAGAGCAATATTACTAACTTTCCTAAAAATAGAGAATAATGACAATATTGTTAGCATTGCGAATTGTGTATACGCTAATCCTTTTGAAGCATACACTACATTAGTTGACGACGAAGGAATACAGATAATTGTAAACAACTTGTAAAGAAAAGCCTACGCAAACTAGTGGTTTTCGTTTAACTTCTACATTTATAATTCATAAAATTAGTCTTTAAAGAAAGTATGTGAAAACATTTCTTTTTGTTATATCATATAATTAACCATATTTTGTTAAACGTTTAGTTAAATTTAATTATATATATATATATATATATATATATATATATATATATATATAATTTCCAAAATAATATTAGTTTCACAGTGGGAAAAATAACATTTCAGAGCCGTTTCATCGTTTGAAATCAGTTATTAGTACTATTTACTGGTTTGCTTTTATTCTATACTATCATCAGTTTGTTCAAAAAGTTAGCTACACTTCAAGCTGTTTAAATTGATTCATCTAGCCGCGTTGAATAAAGCAGGATACACCATTGATGAGCTCAACAATAAACGATAAAAACAGACTTTTCAAGTGAACGTCATATCCATCCATTCGCCTAGTGATTGTTACTGTGATTGGTATTTTGTTCTCAACTATTCATATTAGCCAGTAATTATTATTATTATTTCTTTTAATTCCTAGAGGAACATAGGGCTTCAGCTGCGCATCTTCACCGCCTTTTGTTTTCTGCCAACTTTTTCACCCCGCTCCAAGTCTGCCCACATGCTTTCATCTCCTCTTCACATGACCTCCTTCAAGTCACCCTCGCACTGACGACCAACTCGCCGCTTCCCTTTCGGGTTCCACTCGTGCAATGGCTTGTCTAGTGATGTCACTTGATGGTTTCCTCAGAGTATGGCCATTTCTTACTGCCTATTTGTTTCACAATCAGTTCCTGGTTGGTTCGTTCATTGCCAGAGATCCCTGTTGCTGATCTTTTCTGGCTGGTCATCTGATCTTGAGTATTGAGCGAAGACAACTGTTAATGAAGGTCTGTAGTTTGTTTGAGGTGCTCTTTATTACGCGCCAAGTCTCTGATCAGTATAGTGAGTAGCACTGACTTCACATTGGAGTTGAAAATCCTGATCTTATTTTTCATGCTAAGTAATTCTGTTGACCTCCACACAGACTTAAGAGTAATGAAAGCTTGTCTTACTTTTCCGATTCTGGCTTTGATATCCTCGTCAGTTCCGTCCGCCTGTAGTTGAGACGATGCTTCCCAGGTAGGTGAAGGAGGCTGTTTCTTTCAGGTTCCTCCCATTTATGCTGATTGTTGTCTGTTGTTGTTGATGTTGGCCAGGAATCTTCATCACCTCTGTTTTATCTATGTTCACTTGAAGTCCTATCTTTGATGCTTCTTCCGCTAACTTGTTGCTTTTCACTTGCATATCTTCCAGTTTGTGGGAAATCAGATATATATCATCGGCGAAGTCCAGCTCCTCCAAGTCTTTTGTGTGAGTCCATTTTATGCCCGTTCCCCCGTTGGTTGCCGTTGTCTGTCGCATTATCCAGTCTACTGCAATCAGGAAAATGATTGCCGATAAAAGGCAGTCTTGTCTTACTCCCGTCTTCGCTTCGAAGGATTCCGTAAGCTTTCCGTTGTGGACTACTTGGCATGCAACATTGTCGTATAGCTGTTTATAATTGTATAATTGTCATTGGCACCCCGTAGTAGCGAAGTAGTTGCCAAATCACCTCTCGATCGACTCTGTCGCATGCCTTTTCAAAGTCGATGCAGCTGAGATAGAGAGGTGACTGCCTTTGCAAGGTTTGTTCAATGATGATCCGTAGTGTGGCGATTTGATCAATACATGACTTGTTTCTCTTGAATCTAGCTTGTTCCAGTCGACGTTTTTCATCTAGGGCTTGTTTGATTCTCTCCAGGATGATGCGGCTTAGTATATATATATATATATATATATATATATATATGACGGGGACAGTTTCTTTTCCTTAAAGTAATACATTCTTTATTTTATCAGAACACATAGAACAAAGCTTATAGAAAATTAATATGAAAACATACATTTCGCTAATATTGGGAGTCATAATAAAGGTGCATCAACAGAGTAGGTAATTAAACCTTTTCATTCGGGAAATATTAATTACTGTTTATCTAAAATCAACATCAGCTAACACAACTGGAACACTTCAGGTCATTTGATGAGAGCACTGTACAGCGTCAAAACTTATCAAACTATCATTCAGATAATATTGGAAGGAGATATGCACCAATAAAGAATGTCTCCACAGAGGTAGTATGATTATATCGATAACTGTGAAACAACTGACATAAAATACACTATGAATTGTCTCATATTATTCACCCAAATGGCTTTATACCCGCTCATTAAATTAATGTTGGTGATGCATAAAAAGTAAATGATTTTTAATAGTAAATCAGTTTTTCATTGAAAGTTCGTACTTACATTTTCATTCATAACATTAAATTTTGTTATCTTAAAGTAGTAGACTTACATCGGGTAGAAATGGTGCTTCTTCGAGACCAGCCTCTAAACGGACCCAATTAATACCGTGAAACCAAGGGTGATATTTAACACCATCAGAACCAACATCATCACAGCCAAGTCGATAACGGGGATCTTTTTGTAAAAGCTTTGAACAGAACATTTTAATAAATCGATGTGTTAATATAATTCAAAAGATTAAATCCTAAGATAAACACAAGATAAGCACATTTCTAGTTAGTTAGTAGCTATGTAACAATATTTTGTACTGACTAACTGACTGAGATTCAGCATAGAATTTGACACAGAAGTGCAATATTTCAAGTTGTCATACCATGCAGCACACGAAGGTACACAAAAGAGATAGAAAAGAACTAAAATAAGCAGAAATTTGAGCGAGAAGGAATGGTAACATGAACAAAAACATGACAGTTTAGTGGATATGGGAGATCGCAAAGAGTGAATGCATCTGTGCCATTCACAATGATTTTGAGCCATATGATCAGTCTCCAACCATTGGTTCTTAGAATTCCAAAGACCCGGCCAGGCAGCTAACACCTCCCTACGTACCTCAAACTATCTGTCAAAGACCTCATGACAGTTCCCGATTTAGGTTTGACCTCCCCCTTCCCGAACTCTTTTTTAATCCAACCCTATACCAGCTAACATTGCCCGTCGAGGAGGGTAGTAGCCCAGCATGCGCAGTACATGTCTTAGTCATCTCAATCGACTCACCTTCACAACCTTATCCATTGACTTACCCTTCTTACCTAACACTCGACGTCTAACCTAAATACTGGTAACCATATTATACCATTTAACACGGGAGACAGAACTCAAACATTGATGGTCGAAGACAGCTAGCTTTTTCATATCTTCCACTTTCAAGATTCCTGTCTCGCAACCATAAGGCAGGACGGAGCTAACTGCTGAGCAGTAAATACGTTATTTGATCGATAGCCGGATATGACGTCTACGCCAAAGATGGTGTGAGTTGACAAACGTCACATAAGTTTTTTGTATCCGCTCTGAGATTCTGTCAGCAATCAGTCCATTAAGGTTGACGTAACTACCCAAATAAGTGAAGTCGTCAACACTCTCCATTAATTCACTACCTGTCCGTAAGAGACGGGTCAGTGCGATCCACTCCTGTAGCATCATCTTACAACTGGCAGAAGATAATTGCATGCCAAATATTAGAAGACTTTTACTCAAGATGTTCAGAAAACTTCACATTTTATCAGTGTCTTGACTTAGGAGGACAATAACATCTACATACTCCAAGTTAACAAGACTGCTCCCTGGTAACAAGTCAATCCCTACGTCGATTCTATTAGTACATCAATGATGACACTATATAAAAGTGGGGATAGTGGGCATCCCCGACGGACACCACTGGTCATCATTATTTCAAATGTCAATTCTGAATAAGCATTGATAAGGCTTCCTACATAAGTTCGAGTAGAGTTCCTTTATAAGTGCGACATACCTTCTCGCCACTCCCTTCACGGTCAAACATTGTCACAACATTTCTCGGCCAACAGAACTGAATGCTGCCTTGAAGTCAATAAATGTGGCAAGTGTTAGACGCCGGCAAGTATGCCTATGTTCCAGAATTTGTCAAAGGGTGAAGATATGTTCAATACATCCTCTTTTAGGCCTAAAGCCTAACTCGTTTCCCGGGTTTGTTTCTCCACTTAGTCTGCTCGTGATTATTGAACCTAGAACTTTAGATACTATATTAGTCAAGCTTATCCCTTTATAATATCAAAGGAAGACTTCTATAATATTTGTACTAGGTAGTGAGCTACATTTATCGCTTAAAGGCATAATTCAGGCTAGTCAGTGAACTACTGGACTAGCATATAATACTTTACATGAACTAAAATCCTATGAATAACTTAGCTAATTGCTTAAACATCAACCCAAATTGTATCATAGAATTTTCTTTTACATTTGCTAAAAGATAGGCAATAGAAAGAATCACACTTAAGTTAACGTCTGAACTACTAAGCACAATTTTTGAGGCATTTAGTTTTTAGAATTATTCTATAGTACGTTTTAAACGTTTTCCTCAAAGTTATTAATTATCGCTCTATGCCTTGAAGCATAGAAATAATTGTCCTTAAACCCTGATGCTATTAAAATCATTTTCAGCTTGGTGATTCATACATAAACTAACAAGTTGTATTTTCTCTAATATGGATAGCATCTAAAACTGAGACGCACTTCTCATCTTATTTGTAAATCATTAACTTAGTGTGTTTGGAATCCAATGCGTAGCATTCGTATTGACACATGAAGAAAGCGTTTTCCTTCTCAAACTCAGAGGTCTTGTTCACAAAGGTACTGAAAGAACATACGTTTAATATTCCATTGTTGACTACCACTATTCAAATATCAAAACATAAGTGAAGGTAGTATTCCCAGATACTTATCAGAAAACTTGCAGACTACTTCAGTATCCGTTATCTTTCAAGCTCTAACCCTAAAGACACTGAAAGTATAATCATATTTATTCTTTCATTTTTATGGAGTGCGCTTAATAGCTTGCAAATGGTTGGAGGCAAAGCAGTGAAATGTAATAAGGAATTCACCGTATCATACAAATTATTTTGATCTTTTGTCAAGAACTATACCGTACCACTCATATTCTCTGCGTCTTGTTATAATTTTATTTAATAACTTTTTTTATGACTGCTGATGCTATCACTTTTCTCTTTAGTAATTCACTTGACATTCACTTTGATGCATTTTATTTAAGAGTAGCAACTTGGATCGGTATGCTCTTCCTTAAAACAGCATAATTTTAATGTATGTCATCAGGAAAATGTCTACAACGAAGTTTACAAAGTACCATAAGATGACCATTTTAAAAAGAATTAGACAGGGATCTGAATACGTTGATTGGACAACTAGTTCGTAACTAGTGTCATGTGTCTAGTCCTCTTGTTTGGTGCAGACTGAATTCTGTCAGTCAAGTTTGCAATATGGCTACCCATGCTAGGCGGCTCACCATCACGGTGCACTCACAGTTGTTGTTGTTGTTATTAGGTAATTGGAGGCAATCGGCAAGAAGCCTTGGACCTAGGTTTCGTGGTTTTTAATGCTAACCAGTTAGCAAGGTGTACCTGCATTTTCGAAGAAATGCATGTCCCCTCTGAGATTCGAACCCATGTCACTCGGTGACATCAATGGCGAGCTCAAATAGATCAGTGGCACGTGTGCGAATCTCAAGAGGGACATGAGTTCCTCTATGATTGGATAAATACCTTTCTGATGAGTGCCAAAATGCACGAAACCTAGGTTTAAGGCTTCCTGCCGATTGCCTCCAACCACTCAGGGATCTCATTCTTTTGGAATGAGGCTCTGAACAGAGACTGAAGCAGCATTTCCAGAGTGAAGTTATCTATTATCTAATATAAATTGTACATAAACTTGTTAAAATAATTACTTTTTTGTCTAACTACAGAATGTATATAATGCTTTATAACAGCTATCTAAAATTTGTTATAATACATTCACTGTTTTCTATTGCCAGTCTTAACACCAGGTAGAAACGTCACAGGATAACTACACTATGAAAGAATAACTCGATTAATTGTCAATCATTATTGTACGAAAAATCGTGATTACTTATTTGTTTTTTTTTAAAGAAAAACTACGAGAACAATTACGCGTAAAATTAAACAAAGGAAATCCGGAGAAATTGGTATGCTAAGCACAAAAGGCGAGGAGGAAAAAATGAACAAAATGACAGATTGCGTGCACAAGCACACACACACACACACGTAATTTCTTAGCAACTTACCGATTGACAGAAATTTTTAGAATTCTCAGAAAATTTACCGTTATACTCTTCATTATCTTCACATACACGACGATCCACTTCTTCACGTCGAATTCGTTCTTTTCGTCTACGGAATGGCGCTTGTCCCATTATCATCTCATACACAATACAACCTAATCCAAACCAATCAGGACTGAATGTATACGGTGTGTTCATGACTACTTCAGGTGCTGTAAAAATAAGTAGACAAATATTGGAGTTTAAGGAGACAAAAAAAAACAAATAAAGAAATAGGCTAACACTTGTAAATTAATAGTCACCTAGAGGAAGTATTTCAATAAAAGGCATACCATTACACAAAACAGGTTTTATAATGATCACATTGAGCAATCTGTCACTGCATTTACTAATTATACAAATGTGAATATTCTAAAAAATATTAACCAGAATAAAATTTTAAAACATAAACTAGAAAATTCACACGTTAATACCAAGTCATCACTTGACTAATGGTAGAGGGTACCACTCAATCACATAATAATGAGGTATTACAGAGTGTAAATTTATAATACTTGATAAGCTATTGCCTATAAACATTGCACAACTAAGCTAAGATGTAAACATTTATAGCTGAAGTAAGTGAGGTAGATATCAGTGCTAATCTAGAGTATCATTTGACAGACAGATGGGTAGGCAGATGCATGAACGACAATGAAAGAAGACCCAAACCAATAACTACTTGCTATTTCATGCAGTTGGTAATGAGCCACAGCTGCTATGTGAGGGCTAGTGATACTACCTGGCTGCCCAAACCTCAGCAGGTAAAGCGGGGTTCGAACCCGTGACCCAGTGGTTGGAAGTCGTGTGCCTAAACCAATGAGCTACAGCGCCACATGAAGTAAGACAAAATTAAAAAGTGTACAATGATACAAAGGGTGGAGAAATAAATTGTTCAGTGACAAAAATCCTTTTTAGAAAAATCAAAGATATAGAATGTTAGAACACAAAACAGTCAACAAACCATACTTAGAATTGCCAAACCGTTCTTATTGTGATCTATGACGCTAACACGTGCCGTTATACATCATTTATGGGAGGAATGAAGAAGTAAAAAAGCCTTAAAATATTTAATTGCTTTTTTTATTATTATATCTTTTTTATACAACTATATCAATCACGACAACAAATATTTTGTATTTCCCACCCATGACTTATTTCAAATTTCAGATGTTTAAATTCTAACGCTATACACATATTCACCCAACTGTAAAAATCGAACGGATTGAAAGTGAAATATTGAGACTTCTAAGAATAGATCACAGTGTATTCAGAAAATCATGGGAACATACCATTTTAAATTTTAAGGGCGTATAATATAAACAAAATGTATAACTTATAATAAGTACACATCACACTTAACAGATGAGATACAGCAAGCTTGTAATCGGTATTTAATTACCAGCTATATCGACTACCTAGCTATGATATCCAAAGCTGTCTTTGCAATACTCAAACTATTATGACAAAAAGAGAAGATATATAGGAGAGGATCAAGACTAAACACATCGTCACATTACCCAGTGAAGAAGTCGAATATCAGCAAGTGTATTTTAGTAGGAAACCTTAAAAATTAACATCTCAGCAGTAGCAGACAGATTAAACAATAGCAGCCAATTTTTATTCTAGTATCATTTACTCCGAAATAATCACGCTGAACAGCAAAATCTGAATAAAACTAGGTTAAAATCATACTTTATGATAAGGTAGAATATCTAGATAAAGTGTGTAAAAGACTGACTACGATAAACTGTGATGTATGCCAGTGTTAAGACTACTGTTAGGGCGAGTAACAATCGGACAAAAGGATTGCAAATATATAACATATATGTTGAAACAAACGCATTAATATCCCAACACAAAACCAAATTGATAAACGTCAAGTCCGAAAACGTATTCTGGAACACTATTTGACTTGGCTAGCCAGAGGAGCAAAGAAGAATACTAGCAGCTCAATCCCCCGAACATCTTGTCAATTCCGGACATCGAGCTACACAGAATTCCTCAGTATTGTACTAAAGGACTTCGAATTCGCCATCTGTGCAATGCTGAATCATTTGTTATCTCTGATATCGAGTCTATCTCCCTGCCATTCGACATTTTCATGCTGACGAACGTCTCTTTATGTACTGCTGATAAATCTTATCAGTAGCACACGCCACACCACCAGTTCTTGTCCACGCCACAATTATACTGATTAGTCATTTTCACACGCTTACTACGTCATCCCAACTTCTGCCTATTTCCTAATTTCCAATTAGTCACTCCTTCTAGATTACACCTTACATTACGCAATGCATTTTCGAGGACAAATTTTACGAGTACCTGATTGGTCTTATGAATTTCTTGTTAAATGTAATAATGATTGTACAGCTTATACAAAAAAAAGAAAATTTTCTTCTATGTTTACACCTTTTTCGTAAAACACTGATAAATTCAAGTGTTGGTTTGTAGGGATTTGATTGGTTACATGATTTCATCATGAGCTGACACTGGTTAGAGAACCACTAGCGACTTGCCCTATTCAGGTAGGTAGTTACCTGGGGTTCTAGTGAGAAGTTGTGACCAGTAGGGTGCGGCAGGTCAGGTTTGAGGACAAATACTCGCCGAAGACATTGTCTAGGGGTCGCGCTATGTCGTGAATTGGCAGAAGTTAGAATTCATGGGCCACTCGATCGGGTCCCAGTGGCTTAATGGTATACGAGCTCACCTGGGTCCTGGATTCGAAACCCGGTGGGTGCGTACTGCTAAATAGTCCCGAACTAGGACGGAGGAAACAGCTGTCAAGTACTCCCAGGTTTTCCAATGGTTCTCTGACTAATGTCAGCTCATGATGAAATCCTGTAAACTGACAAATGTCTAGTACTTTTTATGTAACTACTCTTGATTGATAACTCCATACAAAAAGGATAAAATTGATACAAAGAAAGGATCATTGATGAGTAAGAAAATAATCTTGTAAAATGACAGGACGAGTATCGCTTGTCATGATGTATGAAACCAGTCAACGGACTATTTAAAAATATAACCAGCGAAACTAATATTTCACGCAGAGATTAATGACTTCACTACACATCTCGAAGTTAGAAATTTCAAAAAATAATGACTTTAACTTGTAATAAGTTGGAAGACAGCTTTCATTATTGCATGAAAACTTCATGAGTAATGAATATGAAAAATAAAAGCTTGTTGAATTTCAAAACAGCAGCATAACAGTAATGTCACATGAGAGGATAACAAACAATTAAAAATGAAAAGTATACTCAGAGATGTTGTTCTCCGAGATAGTCTCTAATGAAACTAAAGTTACCATATTTAATACCACTTGCCAAAGGGAAAATGATCAAGCATATTTTCATTGTTGAGTATTCATTTCTTATCGCCTGTTATTTTTCATAAAACGTGAGAGGTTCTCATTCAAACAAATATCACCAACAAACTTAGAAAGTAACACCTTACGACAATGACTACAGATCAGTGCACTAAACATATGCATTTAAGATGTGTCACAAACGAAGCGACTTATTGATATTCAGTATATAATTTATGCAACTTTTTGTTTGTGTTCCTGCATATGCCTTTTTTTACCCTCAGAGAATAAATAAACCAAAATGACTGATTAAATATTTTTCAAACATGTTTGACGACAATGGGGCTGTTTAAAGCAGACTTTAAAGTGTATACAAATTTATTTAGTATTTGGAAGTATAAAAGACTATCAAAAAGAATAATAACAGTTAAGCAAGAAGGAAAACACTTGATTTTATGACTAGTTAGCTCATAGTGGATGAAAAGATAAACGTTAACAACTCAATAAAATATGATACTCATAAGACATTTTTAGTACTATCTGCATATACTACATGGATGGAAAACTCCATTATGATACGACCAGCCTTCTCCGTCAAAAAGTAACACAGTGAAAAAGATAAATAAGACTGAAAATGTCTAAGAAGCTGTACTCACCCATATAACCAGATGTCCCTACTCTTCCTTTAGTTGTACCTCCGGGTTTAATATACACAGCTAGTCCAAGATCCGATATTCTGACATGTCCTGTAAAAAACAGTGTTTAAAAATAATAAAAATAGATTATATATGTATATTCATGGAAATTGAGTGTAATTTAATAGGCATGTAAAACATCTTGAGTTCTAAATATACCAAATATGTTGTGAACAACGGAAAAAATACACTTATCCAATTTCATACAAGTGCCAATCAACATTCATTTACAGTTAGTATCTAGTTAGTCAATAGAGTATAATTTATTCATCTGGGATTAATGAATTAATAAAATATTAGGAGTCGCGTACAAATTCAATTTCAACAAAATACACCATTATTGTAAACTATGCAAGTTGTAAAGCGATTGTAGAGAAACTACGAAATGATATCATCTCACGAAATTTGTCTTCTAAATACCTTATTCAAATTTATCGAAGGGACTTACTGTTTGAAAATACACAGTGGTTGGTTTAACATCAGTAGTTGTGACAAATGACATTCTAACATTTGAAAATAAACGATATGAACATTCCTAAGTTCACCTATATCAGACAGTAAGTTTTTATGCATAAAAAGTTATAACACTAGACATTAGTAAGTTGGATGAATGGATAGTGAGATACAGAAGCGGATAGACAGATTGATAAACAGTACGATTACGTATCAATCTGAAGTGTTACACTCTGGATCAACACACTCACAAAAGCGCTAAGGATAAGATGCAGGAATATAATCATTGAAGAAAACGAGCAAAACAGAGAAAAAAATGAAACAGGATAATCATATTTTTTATATATATAAGGCTTTAAAATTAGCCTGGAAGTGGGTTACGTCTGAGTCATGTAAAAGAGATCGATGCTATATCAAATAGTGTAAAGTTTCTAACCGTTCATTTTAATTATCTCATCATTTTAAACCGATAGACAGAGACTTTATGCCTTGATTTAACCAACTTTTATTCCTTTCCAACATAGTCTTACTACTATCAACTTAGGTAACACATACACCCACCAAATAAAAATAATGGTGACTAAATGCTAAACATGAGAAAAAGCCCAGTAACTGTTCGAATCAAGAAATTTACGTCACTTGTGTGGAGCATTTAAACCTCATCACTCAAAACCCTAGATTTCATTCTTTTAGTGGTGACAAGTTGACTTTGATTTAATAAAACCTTTAATCCGTTTATAAATCCTCGTAAGATAATTCTTATGAGTACCAGAAAACACGTAGACATTTAACAGTTTAATTTAAACTTCTGAAGATCTAAGTGTATTTTCTAAAAAAGTTCTTACATTGGCATTGAAAAGTTGGAGAGAATGGGAAGGACTCAAGAAAATCATCATTTGTGATAACTTCACTTCTAGATACTGCAATATATATGTACTTTTATTTACACATCTAACTGACAAATCAAAAAATTACGAGCACAATGGTATGCTGGTAAAGATGAACCATGTAAACATAAGGCAAAAATCAAATTAACCAATTTACGTAATAACTCCCTGAGTGTGCTTCTGTGGTAAAACATGTTTTGGGTACCCATACACGTATTAACTCTCAGTGAACAATACTGTTTCCTTGTGTGTTTTATCAAGTAAAAATATGTATGAAGTCATCCCCTGTGACAGTATTTAAAGTTCTCCTGCTACATTACTACCCACTTATCTACTACTGAATGTAAGGCTATACAAAAAGTGAAAAACATGTTCATACAAGAATATAATAAAAAAAAATATAATCCGAAAGATAAAAAAAACCTTGAAAGAATCGCAAGTTTTTTTCTGTTATTTTCGTTTGCATCACCTAGTCAGGGAAATTGGTTATTTAAATCAACTGCGAAAAGTCCCCACATATATTTAATTATTAAATAATCTGTTCCAAAGCCTTGTGACTATCTTTAAACAAAGCTAGGTGGGAATTTCAACAAAGACTCAATTAGTGTATACCAAACAAATAGCCCAGGTTATGTGTCAACTAATCTTCCTAGGTCCTGCTTCACCTAACTGTTATCTATCTTTTTTCTTCTAAGTCAAATAAGCAATAGAAGCATAGAAAATAAAATACCCCAGCAACCTAGTCACTCAACAAAAGTGAAAACACGTAATACACTTTACACAGCTAGTTTGTCTTTGCAAAGCGTACTTTCACTAACTGATATCTTTTATATCAATCCTACTAATAAATATTTTGCACCAGAGAGGAATATAAAACTGTCATAAATGTTTCATAGACCCGTTTAGACAGACATACAAGTGAATTCGATGATTTTACGAACAAAAGATAATTTAAACACATTTATAGGCAGTTAAAGCTGTAATACATCATAATGTTGATCTTTCGCAACTTTATTCGTCTGCTTAACTCTATTGTAAGAAACAGACTTGACGCTCAAAACTAGAGTTAAATAAATCGAATCATCTTTTATTTTATATAATGTTAGCGGAAGTAAAGTCAGTTTGGAGGAAACTCAGATTTGGTATTGACTTGCGGATTTAAGCTACTTTACTAACATTTTTGGGATATTTGGCGAAAACAACCTACATACAACTGTGAATTGTTGGTATCAGATGGTTGGAGGCAACCGACAGGAAGCCTTCCAACTAGGTTTCGTGCTAGTTGGCGTTATTATCGAAGGAACTCACGTCCCTTCTAGATTCGAGCCAGCAACACCCAGTGCTGTAGTCATAGATGTTACCACTGAGCTATTCAGGCTCACGACTGACCTCCTTACGAGTTGGCTACACAGGTGTAGACTTATTCAAACGTTTATCAGCAAACACAACAGCTACTTGACACCTATTTGTTCCACATTGTATGTTACACCATGTTATTAGAAATGCTTACAAAACATTTTTAAATCTCTATAGTTCGAACAGGTATCAGTGGTCTAAAAATTGTTTCTGAAGTCATTACCCTTAACTTTTTGAAAGGTCTGGTTCCACTATAAATTTTAGATTTAAGGTATTTATTCATTTATATTCAAAAACAGTTCATTTTACAATACTACAAAACACATATTCGGATGTGAAGCTAGTAGGAGCAGCTATATCGTGGGACGAACAATAAATAACAACTAATTAAATAATTCAGTTAACTTGCAACAAAACAACTGAAACTTGAGGATTTTAGAAAAATGAGTTACACAAAGTGATGAAATTAATGAACTGATATCGCCTTTATTTAGTCAACTAATAATGATATGTATCACATATATCACAAGGCAAAGTGAATAAATTTGTAAACAACTAAAAGCGTGTGACTTACCTTGATCGTCAATTAAAATATTTTCCGGTTTCAGATCACGATAAACAATATTTTGTGTATGCATATGTTTTAATCCCAGAGTGATTTCTGCTGCATAAAACCGCGCTCTATTCTCATTAAAACCGCTCCCATTATTCATGTTATGGATGTGAAATTTAAGATCACCTCCATTCATAATTGTTAAGACTAGACACAAAGCGTCCTTAGTTTCAAATGTATACGCTAAGTTAACCTGTACGAATATTGGTAAGAGATAAAAAGTAAACAAGCATATATGTTTGTCAATCAATTAATTCGTGGAATTATTACTATTTTTCAAGACCGATTTCGAATTTACAACATAATGACACGATACTGATTTATTAAGGACATTGGTGGCTACAAATGAGTCTTTGCTCTTAGTACTAATTCAAAGTCACGCAATAAGAACAAAAATTGTATTTACCTAGCCAACAATACGTGTGTCATACAACACATATTCAAGGTTTCAACACAAACGGATATCATTAAGTGTAACAGTGACTAATAGAATTGTGACTGCTCAATCAACTACGAAATATTCATGAAAAGTATGAAATCAACTTGTTCATTTCCAAATTTCAAATAGGTAACCTCATACGTCAGTCTAGAACTTGGGCACTGTGGAAGTAACCTCAAAGGTCAAACCTGCTGCAGTCTGAGTAGAAAGACACTATATTTAAGGTCAGAATATCTCACAAGATTGTTAGTATTCAAGCACTACTTCCCCCACTGGAAAATTCGCCATATTACTCAACAACCAGGAAAATCAGAGGAACACTGTCTTTATGAACTGCTCAAAGCTATCAATAAACCTGCATAATGGAAATCAATACACATAAGGACTTACTAGACCTAACATTCTTCAATGTGTTGTTCTTTATCCCATTCTATCTTCATTGTATCCAAATGAATTGCTTTTAGCAGCTGCAATCATTTTTAAATTCATGATGATTCTAGTTATCTGATAATTTTTCACCTACCCTTTTCTCAGGCATTGAACGACAGTTCTCTCTGAATAGTCTTGTTTTCATCCATTTAAACCTCCATTCTGTCACATAATAAGCGTCCCTTTTATTTGCACATTTCTCTCCGTCTGTCTTTAGCGTAGACATTAAATGAGTACATAAGGGTTAAAGCACTTCTAATTAAACAAAAATCCGGTTCATATCTTGTGTGAGAACTAATCGCAGCAGTATATTAATTAATGGTTGTATGATAATCATGCATTTTTAGTTCAACTGTGGATGCTCTACAGCCGAACAAGAAGCTCACGTTCGACTCCGAGCAGGCGGACTTCTAAACCCTATCTAGTTTACTAGTCATTAGAAAGAGGTTGGATGTGAGGCTAGTAATCTCAATCTTTAGATTAGTTATACATGAGACAACAATTTCGTAATACCACCCTATGAAAATTTTGGACAATATACCAGAATATTATTCACAAACCTACTATAATTCATAAAGATGTATCCAGTAAAAGAAGGCACATCATGATAATTACTACGAATAATAAACGAAATAAGTTCAAATTTTTGAGAAACTGCCAATCGGCTGTCTGTCTGTCTGTTTTCGACATAGAACTTTGCACAAATGTGCGGAAGTTCAAGTCGCCACATTCCGTGTAGCACGCGAAGCAAGAGAAGAAAGTACAAGAAAAGCATAATAGAAACAGTGAGCAGAGGTGTGAGACAAAGGAGTAATAAAGAAAAACAAAACAGTTTCATTGGAGATCATAAGTCACAAGGAGTGGATGCATCTGCGCCACTGAGAACGATTTTGAGCCATGTCACCAATTGTTTCCAACCATAGATTTTTACCGTCCCGAGGACCCCAGCCTGGAAGTCTACACCTTCCTACGTGGCTTAGACCAACTGTTGTGGATTTCATTGACTGGTGCCAAGTTTTTGTTTGACCGCCGCTAGCTTTTTTCCAGCCTGACCCTATATCCGCTAACATTGCTCGTCGAGGGAGGCGATGGCTTGGCATACGTAACACATGTCCTAACCATCTCAGTCTTTGTAGCTTCACGACTTCGTCGATTGATTTCCCCTGTTTACCTAGAACTCTACGCCTAACCTCCATGTTGCTCACCTTATTATGCCACTTTACACGGGAAATAGAACGCAGGCACCTATGATCAAAGACAGCTAGTCTTTTCATGTCTTCCACTCTCAGTGGCCAGGTCTCACAACCATAAAGGAGGACGGAGCGGACTGATGAGCAGTACACCCGCCCTTTGGTCGATAGTCGAACATCTCGTCTACGCCAGAGTCGGCGTAAACTGGCAAATGCGAAACGAGCCCCTTGTATTCGTGCTGAGATTTCGTCAGAGATCAACCCGTTGGGGCTGATGGTACTTCCCAAATAAGTGAAGCGGTCAACGTGCTCTACCACTTCACTTCCTATTTTTAAACTAGGCGTCGATGTAGTCCAGTCCTGTAACATCATCTTGCATTTGGCGGGAGCGAATCGCATGCCAAACATTCGTAGATTGCGGCTCAAGGTGTTTAGAAGACTCTGCATTTCGTCAGCGTCTTCGCCTAGAAGGACTATATCGTCTGCATATTCCAAGTCAACGAGATTATTCCCTGGTAGCAAGTCAATTCCTGAGTCGCTGAAGTCACCTAGGGTTAAGTCCATTAACACATCTATGATGAAGTTGAATAGAAAAGGGGATAATGGGCATCCTTGACGGACACCACTGGTCGTCATCAGTTCAGATGACAGCTCGCCGTAAGCCCTCACCTGGCTGTATGAGTACGAGTAGAGTGCCTTAATCAGTGCAATATATTTTCTTGGAATTCCCTTTACAGCCAAGCATCTCCAGAGAACTTCCCGATCGACAGAGTCGAATGCTGCCTTTAGGTCAAGAAATATAATGACTGTTGGACGCCGGTAGGAATGCCTATGTTCTAGAATCTGTCGGAGGGTGAAGATATGATCAATACACCCTCTTCCTGGTCTAAAGCCTGCCTGGCTCTCTCGTGTTTGTGCTTCCCGAGCACCACTCAGTCTACGCATGATTATTGAGCCTAAGACTTTAGATACTATATTAGTCAAGCTAATCCCTCTGTGATTATCACAGGAAGACTTGTCTCCCTTCTTGTATATGGGGATAATCAGTGACTTACACCAACCCGATGGGACTTCTTCTGATTCCCAGACGCTGCCTAGTACCTCAGTTAATGCAGACAGTAAGCTGTCTCCACCGTACTTAAATACCTCTGGAGTCATTCCATCAGGTCCCGCTGCTTTGCCTAGTTTCAGATTGGTGACAGCTTTAGTAACCTCAGTTAGGGATGGAGGACCTGTGTCTATATCCCATTCAGGGAGGTGTTGGATGCTCGGAAGGTTGAGCGTGGCTGTGGGCCAATTAAACTGCTCCTCATAATGCTCTTTCCAACGATCCAGTCGTCTATCCTGAGAGCTAATTATAGTGCCATTTTTTTCCGAGATTGTTTCACTAATGATTTGTCTTCTCCCACCCGTTTCCCTGATGAGTCTAAAGAGTTGCCTGGTGTTGCCTATCCTCGAAGCTTTCTCCATCTCTTTGGCTTTTGTCGCCCACCACTGTTCACGGTCCTTGCGGAGACTTTTCGTAAGTTTCCTCTTGTGCAGCTTTCGCTCCTCATTGAATTCGGAGCTCGCCGGAATAAGTCTTCTAGCATCTATCAGTTCGGATGAGGCGGTGGAGATCCAGTGGTTTTTACTCACCTTTGGGTTTACCTTATTCACAGCTTTTACAGCTGTATCTATGGCTGCCTGGATATTTTTCCAAGCTTCTTCAGGGTGAGCACAGCTGTCGAACACAGATATGTGTTTAGCTAGTTCTTCCTCAAATACGGATTTAGTTTCCTGATCGAGCTGGGGACGTGATGGTTTTACCGCCAGCTGTTTCCTACGTCCGTTCAGTCGTAAGCACACACGAGCGCGGACCAGTGCATGGTCGGTATCTACACACGTGTTCCAGAAGGAGCGACAATCTCCTACCGACCCACGCCAACGATAGCTTATTGCTATGTGGTCTATTTGTGTCCAGCGTTGGTTTGATGAAGGGGGTCTCCAAGTCAAACAGTGTCTCTCCTTGTGTTTGAAGTTAGTGCTTACAAGAAACAAATGATTATCAGAGCAGAACTGTAGGAGACGGTCACCGTTGTCGGTTCGCTGGCACGGAATTCCATAGGTGCCACCGACATCCTTCTCAGATTGACACAATTTCCCTACTTGAGCGTTAAAGTCACCAGCTAGAACGACTATGTCTGAGCGTTTAGCCTTTCTCACCAAACTAGACAGCTTTTGGTAGAACTCATCCTTCGTTTCATCTGAACTGCAGTCAGTGGGGGCGTAGGCGGAGATTACGAAAAGGCATCGGCGAGTAGTGCAGTCCTTCCTCCTTCTTACTGATCCGTTCAGGCGGACAGCACACATTCGGCTATCTACCGGGATCCAGTCAAGCAATGTCTTTTCTGCCCTAGTACTCAAAGCTATCCCTACGCCAGCTAATCCTCGTGAACTAGCTGTGGCATCTCCTGACACCCTCAAGGTGAATTTTGCAGATTCAACCTGTTGGCCAGGTGGGGTTAGGTGAATAACCACACTTGGGTCTTGTATGCGTGTTTCTGAAACACAGCCAATCGGCTACTCCTGCTTGATATCAGTGTGGCATCAAATCTAACCAAATCCCTACAGAATATCTTTTATAGAATTAAGATTCATTACTAAAAATAAAAAGGACAAATGAAATTAAATGAACTGACTGGAGACTGTCACTTCAGTTTTTGCATAATACATAGAATTCATGAGTATCAGCTAGCAAGCTATATGACTTATCATCATCCATAATAATACACATGAACAAGTATGACCACAACATTGGTCGGAAAGACATGGTCTGACTGTTTTCGACATAGAACTTTGCACATATGTGCACCAGTTCAAGTCGCCACACTCCCTCCACGTAGCACACAAAGAAAGAGAAGAAAGTAGAAGAAATGCATAATAGAGACAGTAAACAGAGGTGTGAGACAAAGAATAGTAATAATGAAGAACAATATAGTTTCATCGGAAATCATAAGTCACAAAGAGTGGATACATCTGCACCAGCCATTGACAACGATTTTGAGCCACATCACCAATTGTTTCCAACCAGTGGTGTTTACCGTCCCGAGGACCCCAACCCGGAAGTCTACAACTTCCCACGTGGCTGGCTTAAACTAACTGTTGTAGATTTCATTGACTGGTGAAACCATGTTTTGGTTTGACCACCGCCAGCTCTTTTCCAGCCTGACCCTATGTCAGCTAACATTGCCCGTCAAGGAAGGCGATGACTAGGCATACGTAACACATGTCCTAACCCTCTGAATCGGTGTAACTTCACAGCCTCGTCGATTGATTTCCCCTCCTTGCCTACCACTCGATGCCTAACCTCTATATTGCTCACCTATTATACCACTTCACACGGGAGATAGAGCTCAGGCACCTATGATCAAAGACGAAAATCCCTTAACAAAACAATGAGTCATGCAGACCAAATTTCAAAAAAAAAGATCATCTGCAATTGATTAACATCACTAAGTACGACGAAAAAGTGCTTATGTAACCCATAATTACTCCTGGTGATGAAAGGTCCACGATCAAATAACAGATCTCAAAGAACAGGAAATAAAATAACAGTTAATATATTCAAGTGACAATCAAACCTTTTGTTAAACAGATGATAACTCAAGCTGCCGTTCATAGAATAAAAACTAAACTTGTAACTTAACTGTTGAAAATATATCACCATAACCATTGCCTCATAACTAAGAGTGCAGTTCTTTAGTTTAAGATTTCCAGCAAAAAATCATATGTTCATACGACTGGATAACACATATTCCACGTGTGAGAAAATAGTCAAGTGTGTAAATCGATCAGTGAATAGTCCAAAATACTTAATATCTTTCCCAAGTAAATATGCAAGATAAGAAGATACAAATCCTAACAATGTCCGATCATTCTTGCTGTTTGTTTTCATACTACTTCCCATAACTTTTAACACTACAAAGCTTGTTTTGTTGCGTTATGGTCGTACTAAAATCATATAATGCATTATTGGTCTGTCATACTGGAACAAACTAATAAATCCAAAAGACACTAAATTACAACTTCTGTTTAATATACGCTACAAAACAGGCCTATTCGATGAGCGGCATAGGTGAGGTTAGCTTTGGTACGGTGACTGTAAATACAATCTATTTATGTTTTTAATAATGTGCAATTATTTCGCATCAATCATATCAATTTGTTTAGGAACAGCTTCTACTGTAATAAGTCTTTTTCGAATAATTTTGAATACAGCCTCCCAAATATTCAACAGTACGAAAATAGTACCAAGTTTCATTTTCACTGAAATTATTCAGAAAATAGTGATTACCAATTCTACTGTAACATATTTCCTCTAAAAAAGGTCAAGATAATGTGGAACAGACAAATTCTAGAAGCAAATTGATAGTGATGGATCCCAGATATGATAGCAAAGCCACATATGAGTGACGTTACGATTTTGTGTGTTGTATACCGCAAGCTTACAGATATTCGCCTTTTTCACGACATTTTAAAGTCAAACATCAAGTCTAATGTCATAATAACAAATACATATTTTTCACCAAAACTTTTTCCAAATAAATGCGATTTGTTGAAAAACCAATCCCCAGACAAGTTCCAAAAAGTAACGTACGACAAAGCGAGAGTTGACTCTTTGCAATGTTTCTTTTTCCATCATGGCCATATTTTCTGCACGTCGTTTCTTCATGCGCTTCTTTTCCATTTTCTTGCATGCATACAACTTTCCAGTCGCTCGGACCTGGCAAGCACATACTTCTCCAAAACCTCCCTTACCCAAAACACGGTACATTCGGAAAGTATGTTTGGTAACTGGAGTTCTAAAAGTTTAAGAAAAAAAGCATGAATTTAAGACTTTTGCTCATTTTCCGAATAAATCTCACAGAATAGAGATGTGAGTAATCTTGAATAAACTAACTACTAATTTATCTTTCTGAAGTTTTAACAGCAAATTTTTAGCCCCCATTCATGATATACGACGTGAATAACCATAAAACAATCATATAAAGCAGCTCTACAAATTTTCGCAAGAGACTACTCCAATACAATTGTGACGAGGCAACAAACAATGAGTTATAAAGAAGGGTTCTTCCTAATTATGGATAGGTTTCGTGTGAATATGTGTAGTGAGCTATCATTCGTAGTGAATATATTTCGTCATTGCTCGCCAAAAATACCAATGCCTTGTATTTGTCAACTTTATCATTAGCATACTTTTCCAGGCAGTTTATTACACCTTTATCCAAACTATAAATCATATATTCGCTATAAACAGCAGCCCTGAAGCAACAATCCCATTAAATAACGACAGTGTCAACTTAATAGGTTGTCGTATTACTAATGGATAAGCATACAATGATGCGGAATAACACTTAACTACTAACCCACGCTAACACTTACCTAACAGCAAAGAATCAATTGCGTTAATGTGAGTTATACAATCACCTTACTCAAATTACCAATTAAATTTTGACAATAAACCATGACATTGCTTCAAATTTCCTCGTCTACAGAGCATATCAGTTCATCTGGTTAAACTCCACTAATTAAAGCGACTAGGCAAATTAGCAGAACCCATTAACTCTGGGCCAGTATACATACAATGTTAACTTCAGTAGTGATAAAATAGGTGTAGCAATAATACTAATTACCTAGTACACATACAGGCCAACACTTCTCTGATTATTTATCTTTCTTCCACAAAACAGTTGTTAGTTTTTGTACTCTCCAAATACTTTTTCAACTATTTTCGCTTTTGAAGACGCCTAAGCAGGCACTCTGATTCGTTGTGATTCCGCTCGTAAATGAATGATATAGCTTCCAGTTTTCATCACTTATTACCAGAGAACAGCCTGGATTATAATATTCACACAACAAGTAGGTACCCATTTGCTTCCAAAACAAACGAGGTGTACTCGCCGACAAAGCCTTTAGTTTTTATATTGTTCTAAATATGAGAAAAGAAGCATCTCACAAGCAAGATGTGACCACCAAACACAGCTGTTTACTGATGCGCTTATGGAGTCGTGTGTACACATCAAAATCAAAGGCAAGATAATCCTGTGATGGTAGATTCGCGTTTTAAGTATTTCAGTAGAAATATTTTTGACAGCGTATTGAAACGACTTTAGTCTATTAGGAACATTTTGGCACATCGAAAAATAAGATATTGTATGCAAACTACCTATTGAAAAAATGTAACAAAACTTCGAAGTATCGAAAGTAAAGTGAATCAATGGAGGAATGTGACAAATGATGTTTTAAAAGTTGAACTAAGTCAGGAGGATGCAAATGATGTTTAACTTATCCTGGAAACCGAATCATTTATTCCTACCTGCTCTCCTTTGCCTGACTGAGCAAAAACACTCGAATTATTCTAGCCACAAACTATAAGTAAATAAAGCACTAGGCAAATTCTAAAGCAGAAGGGTAGTAATCGTAAAAATGCCATGTTTAAATAGGTATTTACATTCTGCATAAAATTGTGGTTTTTCAGAATATAAATACTCAGGTGACATTTTAAAGGTTAACAGTCCTTAAAATGTAAGGCCAAGCAAAAAACTCTTCAATCCGTTGCTTGACTTAAAGAGAATACGTTTGCATAATTATAAGAAAACCAAATCGAAAACTGTCTTCAGGTGGCGCCTTAAGAAATAAATTATGCTTTCTCTAAGTGGATTCAAAAGAAATAATCTCTGGTGATGTGAACAAACAATTCCATTCTTATTTTAAACTGCAAGCCGAAGAATGGATGTCCACGCCACTGAAATAAGCAAATACTGAATACGAAAAACACAGTGAAGCTCAACGTCGTGAACTTAATGGGATACATTTGCTTTCTGTGCAGCTTTGTGCACCTCTAACACACCTACGGAAAAATATATAGTTAAGAACGGTACTCAAGTGTAGAAACAATTCAAAAACTCAAAAACAACATACTTTTCCAACCATTTCCATTGAAGATACCGGTCAAAGTAAACCGAGTCCAGGAATTCTGAGAAAGGTGAGTTTCGCAAGAAACCTTCAAGAATCCTACAAAGTTATGTATTTACATGTTACCAACCTAAGAATAGGACTAAAAAGTTCTTTGTCAGGATAAGACTCGTTAGATTCCTCTAAACTTTTTAAAATCAAACTTTCGCCAAGATTCCCAAGCTGACGGAAATTCATAACGCTCTGCAACAAATAACACTGAAAAAATAGATAGTACCCTATCCGACAGGAAACGCTCGTATATTCCCAAGCCAACAGCTCGGCGCTCATTCGGAATACACACTGAATAATTATTCTAAAAATAAACTTGATGTACCAAAAGTGAAAACATACTATGGAATCCACGAAATCAACAACATCTGAGAGGAAGTTGTTACTCCTACAAAACAACCAAAATAATCTTTTTCCGATAGGTTGTTGCTCGACAATGAAATCGTAACCTAAATCTGAGAAACAGCACAATATATGGTGGTAAACTTAAGTACCTAAACATTTCCTGAGATGTGAACACTGTGAAATATGAGGAAAAGCCAACAGCGTTCTCCACTTTCTACTCCGACCCTTGTCTCTGTCAGCTCCACCTGATCAAATATTAACTTTGCATTTAATTCTTACTTCTTTTGGCTTTTATATACACAGTATTAGCTACGATATTCTCTAACTCCATACTTCATCATTAGAAAGCGCAGTAACGCATGGCTTAAAAGTGTGGCATTATTACGATGTCCAATAAAGTAAATCCATGAAGAACGCGTGGTTTCAGGTGAAGAGCAGGAAATATAAGCATCATTTGTGAAAAGTCCATAGTTTGAGGATGTCAGTTTCGCTTTTATGACACGCATGGAACATTTTTGAGAAGATATTTAGACTTAGTTATCCATACACGATATAGCAACAAAATTCCCTCATATTACGAGCATACAGACTTTTCTCAATCCATTGTTTAAGTTTACTGTTTAAGTTGCAGGCACACTATTTAGCTGTCATGATGTCATTTTACGTTCGAGCACCATCACGAGTTGGCTAGGCTTTCTTCACCGTTCATCAGTACTAACCTTGAGACATTCTTCACATTTAGGAATTTAGTGTTGAGACGTAAATACGATCTTCACTTGATCTTGGATTGAAAATACCAGGCTGACACCTCTCATCTTTTCTGATATAGTCAGTAACCAGATACGGTCCTGGTTATGTGGGACAGGGATCATAGGCAAGCGGGAGAAGTCGTCATACACGTCAATTAGCTACAAGAACCACCAAGTTAATCAGCCTAACTGAGAACGTAGAAGACAACAGGAAAAAGCGCAATAGAAATTCGTCAGAACTGAACTGTATCGCAAATAGTGACGGTTTGCTAGTAGAAAACGTTTAGGTCAATAACCTTCTGGGATGTAGAGACCATGAGGCCACAGCGTCCGGTCTAGTACCTCATGAGCTACATGACCTCGGCTGAATCATGGTGAGGCTACCTCAGCCGAAATGAAAAATGCTGTCTGTCGAAAATTAGCCCTCAGATTGGAATGAACATTCAACTGATGAACACTGAGAAATCGTTAGGTAGATTTTTTCCATTGTGAGCTCTAGCATATTTTCTGTAATGATACTGAACCTCGTGGACCTTCATAATTTAGAGAGCAACACGGCATAATCCTCGGGCTAAGTACAAGGCTCATCGTAATCGGTAAATGCTTAGAAGGGAGACTGACCATGAGACATAATTACAATTCAGAAAACCAATAAAACGCGAGGGGCAGGAGCAAGGCCATTTCAGACAAATATTTCACGAAATCTCCTTGGGAAAACTTAAGAACTAATGGCGATTCACGTTAGAAAGGAGGGTGTCAGCAAAGTCTCATAAACCGTTAATGCCCAGCTCTCGCTACGCTCGGGCCCACGCTGTTCTTAGAAGATTTCTGAGAAACGCTTAGTAACAACGGACGAAAAAACCAGAACACCAATTGTTGACTTGAGTATTATGTATTGTTACACCAGCATATAAATCAAGTATCACTAAGCAAACTAAGGTTTCTGACGATGTTTAACTCTTCTTTCTGAACAGCGACCGATGAGACGATGACTGTCGTATTGATGCCTCCGCGAAAATCGAGGAAGTTGATTTTGAGCAAACAACCAAGAATTGATCGTTCAATCTTCAACTCCATTGACACTCCCCGGCAAAAAAGGGATCCAACCCTTTTTTCCTTCACGACCAATGCACGTTGACTTGGATGCCATTGCGAGAACCTGGGTCACACGGACAGAGCTGAAATGGAAAACAAACAGAAAAGCCAACACACCACAAGCATACCCACAGCACAATCTCACACATCAATGACGACCTGCGCCTCCAGACAGAGACCTCCTCTTGACATCTTGCAACACAATCGCCACTTGCTAGAATGACTCTTGCAGAATGCAAAGTGACCATGGCAGCACCTCACGATACTCTACACGCATCCTCTTTTCTACTCACTACCAATTACCACTGAAATCGCTTGTCACTCATTCTGCCTCAGTTCTAGTAGCGGTGACGCATGCGAGCCTCAGTCGTTTACACTCTTTCTCCCCGGCGTGTCGGACCGCAGCTAACAATTATCTCCGTGTGCATTTCATTCTCAGCAATAGCCTAGCCTCCCCGGCGTATACGACCCATCTGCTGTCCTTAACATCAATCAATTCATTCATGGATGTAGAAGACTCGAAACAACTTCAGAAATAATCACGACGAAAATTTTAACAAAATTACGCAATAACAACAAGACACGAAAACAACAAGTAAACACAATGAATCCAAAAACACCAATTGATATGACACACCACACGTATATACAAATAGTACAAACAACCTCGCCGATCATGTCTTGGTGGAATTCCTTTGAAGAATTGCAGGACTTACACCAGTACGCCTACAACCCTTCACAGGTTGACGATTGTAAGTTGTGGAATGTCCAGACACAAACAAGATTAACCAACAATTACATCAATTGGAACTCACACAACTATTTAACACAAACATATGTACAATCAACACATCAAATGTTGTGGATTCTGACACGACAAACTACCCTTGAAGAACTGTAGGACTTACAGCAGTACGCCTACATTCCTTCTCAGGTTGATGATCCAAGTGGAAGTCATCCGGACACAAACAGAATTACCAACAGCTAGATGATAAATGATATCAATTCAGTATATACAATATGAACATATGTACAAAATCACACACCAAGCACATTGGACTGCTCATTGATGCGCTACCCTTTGAAGAATTGTAGGACTTACAGCAGTACGCCTACAACCCTTCTCAGGTTGACGCCCTAGGTTGGAAAATCGTCGCAGAGTTCATTTGCTAACTTCCTTCTATCAGCTATATCCTCAAATCTGAACGGCAACACGCCCATGTCATTGTATCGTAGAATATAGATGACCAACAAACACACGACATATCTCATCAACCAAGTATAGAAACAGAGTAATTTACACCAAAGATAATAACATTCAAATAGTAACTTGAAACTAGAAATGCCTTTATTCGTGCAAGTCAATTTAACAATAACTCTCTCCTTTACACTTGGCTTATCCACACTAAACTGACCATTGATATTCGTCCTTTCAAACGAACTGATACTACCATAGTCATTGCAGAAGATACTAGAGTTGATGGGCATCTGTTTCATTGTGGATGAAAACACCAACGATGACTGAGTGACACAAGGTGATGAACTTAGTGGTGGATCAGAAGCTGTTCTTGTTCGGCTCTCAGATAGTTGTCCAACTGCAAGATTACCACCACTGCTGTCTTTCACTACTAGTTCGGGTTTAGCACTATCATCTGATGATAGGTGGGCTACACGCTGATCAATTACACTGACTGTCTCACAAGTATGCACACCTTTTGGAACTGCATCTGCGTTCAATTCTACTTCACGTTGTAGTTGTACAGAACCTTTATTTAACTTAGCAGTAGTAGGCATATCCCTCATCTCATCATGATCAACCAAAGACAACTGTGAAGTATCATGATCATCACCACAAATATTCACTTTACCGTCAACTTCATCATTTTCAAACTCTTTAATAACAGAAGTAGACAATTTTGGTTCCTCCTCAAAAATCATTAAAGGTTTTATAACTTCACTCTGACTAGATATACTTTGTAAACTTGTGGAGTCAGAACTCCACTCTGAAGCAGTAACTCTATTCTGTGACACTCTATTCAACAACGGCTTACCAGTTGCAACTACAGACTTCTTCACAACACCGTTATCGTCACACAATTCGGAGTCAGACCTGGAGTTTACATTTAGCTTATCACTGAACTTGCTCACCGGTTCACAGTTCACTTCTGTATGCACCTCTTGCACACGTGTCAAACACAACCGTGTTTGTCTTGCATCTTGTAACTTATCTGTTGAGGATGTACTACGAAACCTGTTACACTCACTAGGTCTATATGCATTACTAGACATCATGGAGCTTTCTCGATATCCACCTCTCTGAGGCCTACTCGTCATCAATGATTGCATTTTGATCTCAGACTGCTCTATTCTAGGGGTGAGATCTAATAGACTGGCGAACTTGCTCATAGATTGATTGACACTAGTATTTACCAGTTTCAGGATATCATCAAACTTTGGCTCGATACCCTCATCCTCCATACGGGAGCTTATCTTCACCCACTTCCTTTGCAGTCGAGTAGGTAGACGTCTTGCTATTACTTCTAGTATAAAACTCGAGTTGAGGTCACTCATTCGATTCATCGAAATCATTCCATTCTTGTAAATTAGCAAATTATCTAAAAACTCAGTGAGTGCCTGGGAGTCATCCTGTAATTGACCACCATTACCCTTAACAGCCTCGAATAATTTCCCTGCAATCATCGAAGGTCTTCCAAACCTTTGACGTAATATGCTCATAGCCTCATCGTAGCCCTCCTTTGGCTTCATAAACTTACAACACTGTATAGCTCTTGCAGCATCTCCAGTGCAATATCTCATCAAATACATTAACTTCAATTCATCATTTAATAAAAAACCACTCAACATGATCTCAAACTCCTTTACAAATTGTAAATAATCAGCCGGGTTTCCATCAAAACACCGTGGTTCAAATTTAGGGAGTTTGATGTTCCTATTATCCCTGAACGGCGAAACAGTAACATCAACCATGTCATACTTAACATCACACACATCGTTACAATTAACAGACAAGTCACCATGACTTACTTTCCTGTTTGCATCCAAGACACTCTGTCCCTTCTTTGACCCAGGCATTGTTGAACTTGACCCAATTCCAAAAAAGTTCCAGATATTGCTTGTTCAAAGAGGACTTGACCGGCACCAGGAAAGATGAACGGTGACTATCCAAACTTTCACCAACTGTTTGAATCCGCCAGATCTGTTTCTATCGTCAGAAACTGTCAGCCAAGTCTCATAAACCGTTAATGCCCAGCTCTCGCTACGCTCGGGCCCACGCTGTTCTTAGAAGATTTCTGAGAAACGCTTAGTAACAACGGACGAAAAAACCAGAACACCAATTGTTGCTTGAGTATTATGTATTGTTACACCAGCATATAAATCAAGTATCACTAAGCAAACTAAGGTCTGTTCTGACGATGTTTAACTCTTCTTTCTGAACAGCGACCGATGAGACGATGACTGTCGTATTGATGCCTCCGCGAAAATCGAGGAAGTTGATTTTGAGCAAACAACCAAGAATTGATCGTTCAATCTTCAACTCCATTGACAGAGGTTCTGCCACCAAGCTGCATGCACCTGAAGAGGACTAGGTAGTCAGTATTTTTCAGATTTGGAAGTAACTTAATTCAAACATGACAATCTATATTTAGCAAATCAGTGGAATGTATCTGTTTCAAATAATGCCTGACAAGTCATGTCACATCGATAACTCGTCTATTGATGATTTCAACGTCTTTCAAGTCTCTCCATTCGTCGCCACGTATTGCTGTATTTACTGGCTGACATAACCATGAACAAATATTTTTTATGCGTGCGTTATCAACATAGTCCTGTAGGTCACGAGATCTAATATCCATCAAAAAAGTTGGGCAAACATAATGACAGTGACAGAGACTTTGGATTCTTTATATTAAGACGAGTTTTTCTGTTGACAAGTGAAGATCGTAAAGTTGCTCACGCACTCCGGAATTCCGGGATCTGATTGCTTACGTGTAATTTTAGCTTTATGACCCCATTTACTTGATTTCATTACCAACAATATCTCTGAATTACACAACGACTAATATCTTCCTCAAGTGCCTACGCACATGACCAGAGACCTTGTGAATAAACACCCAGTGCGATTACGGGATGCTGCACCATCAGATATCATGATTATCTGCAGACAGCCTTGGTTTAGAATCTGAAGACTCGGTATTCAGAAAATTTTTCGAAGTGTACTCAGGCATACGACTCTCGTTTCCAATAACAGGAGAGATATTCTGCAAAGTTTCCTCTCGCAATACTGAAATAAAATCAGTTTGCTACGTTACTGATCTGAAACGAAGTCTTCCGGGTCTTCAATGGTTCGAGAGTCTTCGATTATCGGAGCTACCATAGAGTTCTGTATGCAATGAAACCCAGAACTAATGTGCACACTGTTACATTGTGCAGAAGTTGGATTGGATTGATTGGAACATCATAGCTAGCAACAAACACGTTGATCATGGGGATCGCCCGCTCTGAAACAGTCACCTAACTTTCCAGCCTGCCACTTGATCAGTAATGCACAATGACGGTGAATCAAGGTGCATTTACTCAAAGAAACGATTATATTTACACATAGGATGCAGAGAAACAATGCGTGGACACACGATAGTGCCGTGGGCGTCATAAAGGATAAATCCTGTTATGATGCCAGATCCTTGTCTCAAGGTAACTGCTTAACTACTGACCAGTGCCCAGTTAACTGGTAAAGCAGAACACGCGATAATCAGCGGTAAAATCAGAATCATTTATTTATGACAAAATTGACTGTATTTATACAAAAATAAGGTAGACTGGAAATCAACCAATCCGGTTGAGAGTTTGTAATTGTGCAAGCGTCCAATCAGAAAGCAGAAACAAATGCGTGTCAACGACACGCTAATAACTTGATAATTGCATTTATTTTGCCACTTCCTAACACCTCCGCTTTTAAGATAGGGCTGCTGGTAGCTTTTGTATCGAGAAATCACTTGTAGGTACTTGGCGGTCTTGGTTATCGTTGTGATCTTCTTGGCTGCCGGGACACTTTGCCTTTGTTTCGACTATTTTGGCCATGTGACGTTTTTGGATCCGTCGTATCTATCAATAGCTCAAATTGTTCGTCGGCGGACTTGGAATCGTTCAACTGTTTACCAACTAGTCTATTTCTTATTTGATTGATATGCCTGACCCAAATAAGGTCTCCAACCTTGACCTTGTAAATGACTTGGCCTTTTCTTCCAACGATCACTCCAGAAACCCGTGGGCGATCTCTCCATATGTAATCACGAACCAGTACCAACTGACCAACGATGAAACTTCTTTGCTTGGTGCCATGACGTCTATTTAACCAAAATTCACTATTTCTACCACATTTGCTCCGCCTTGATGGGATCGGGATAATTGTATCCAAAGTAGTACGTAATCTTCTTCCAAACATAAATTCTGCGGGAGATGTTTGATTTGGGCATGATGGGTTGGTTGTGGTTCTGTAAATGAAGAGGAAAGTGTGCAACACATCCTCAGTCGATCCCTCCCCTTTTGACTTCTGAAGTGCGCGCTTGAGTGTATCAACAAAACGCACTGCTTGTCCATTTGACTGAGGATGGTGAGGCGGGCTGCGAATATGCTGAAGACCTAGCCGCTCACTAAACTGTTTGTATTGTTCAGCTGTAAACTGAGGTCCGTTATCGGAAACGATGATCTCTAGAACACCAAATCCTCTGAAAAGTTGAACCGACTTATTTAATGTTATCGTCACTGTGGTATTTTGCATAATGAAAACCTCCGGCCACTTGGAATACGCGTCGATTACCACGAGAAACTGTTTGCCATTGATTGGGCCGGCAAAATCTATGTGGATTCCTGACCACGGTTTTCCTAGGTTGGGCCACGGCTGTAGGTCTGTCTTGATAGGCATTTTCAAAGCCTGAGCACAGCGAGAACATGAGAGAACCATCACTTCTAATTCACGATCGATATTTAGCCAGTAGACGTAACAGCGTGCCAACGATTTCATACGGCCAATACCATGGATGCGTAAAGTGTAGTTGACTCATGACTTTTTGTTGGAGACTTCGAGGCACGACCACACGTTCGTCAAACATAATGCAGTCATTGACCAGGGATAACGAATATCGCCGTTGATAGAACTGTTTTAAATCTGGACAATCAATACGTGAGGGCCAGCCACAACGCAGATACTGTTGAACTGACTGTGATGTCGGGTCACGCTGCGTCTCTCGTTGAACCATGTCGGCTGAAACAGGTAAAGTGTTTATTGCCGTCATCAATACGTGGCACACGTCTTCATCGACAGAAACGCCACCGATCACAGCGTCCTCCTTTGCGGGCGAGTTCAGATGCATCAACATGTTGGTAGGACTATCCGAGCACTGTACACTGGAACAAACTGAGTTCAGTGGGACATCCCAGAGTTTCATCTTTTCGATCCAGTCAATACCAAGCAAGTTCAAATCGTGACAATTGGTGATTTAGCATGTTCCTTGGAACGAGGTCGACCGGAAAGTTACGTCACCCAACGCGTTTCTTGCGGTATGCTCCGTTCTCTGATAAGGTGGACACCCGAGTGCCCGCCACGTCTGGGGAGATATGATTGTGATATTTGAAGCAGTATCTAACTGTAGTCGAACTGGCTCCTGGTTGATAGAAAGTGTGACAAACTTTCTTTTTGACTCGAAGTCAACTTTGAAGGTAGCGAACATACTGCTGATTTGAGGTTTCGTCGACCGAGATCGAAACTTTCGTGACTGTGCCATCGTATTGTGAGATCGGATTGAACTAGGTTTCACTGGGGGACAAAATCCTTCCTTGTGACCATACTTGTTACAGATACTGCATTTATGTCTTTTATACGGGCAAAATTTACCAAAATGCCACGATCCACAAAACCAACAATTTGTGGGGGGCTTGTGTTTGACTTGCAGAGAATTGTTTGACTTGACAGCTTGAACAGAGGTAAATTCATGAACTTGACCGTCCTCAATCAACTTCGTGTCATGCTTTAGATTGATGGTTCGCTGGCACTCAGCAGTTACCTCCTGTAAAGTCATGCCCGGTTTGCGTTCAATCTCTGCAAGGAATTGGGTACGAATATCACTGTCAACTGAAAATTTGAGACCGCAGACAAAGATCAGGCATTTAAACTGGTCATCCGTGAGTGATCGAATTTTCGATCGCTCGCATTCACGATTCACCTTACCAGCATAAGTGAGAATATCATCTCCTGGATCTTTGGATATCTTGAAACAATTGTAACGAATATTGAAGAGAGATAACTGTGCACCGAAAATATTGGTTAACGTTTGAACGGTCTCTTCAAAGTTGAGTTCTCTGGAGTTCTTTGGTAGAATATGATTGACATATTTGTTATGTTCGACTGGACCAAGTTTACGAAGGAATAATCTCACTTTGGCCGAATCATCTAGGTGACCGTATTCAACCCAGAACAGATCTTCATAACGTCGAAACTGTAATTCCACTCGTCAAGCAATGATCTGAAACAGAGAGCAAAGCGCACGTTAGCAGCGTGATCACACAAGTGTTGCGTGCTAGTAAGAACGAAGACTCAAGGTCAAGTATTATATTTACAACCAATCGCAATACAATTAGATAAGAGGGAAGGGGCACTCCTATTGGTCATCCGTTGCCTCGTCTTGGGTAACCAATCCCTGCATACTTCGCAGCCAACCTGAAAGTAGACAAGCATAGTTTGAACATTAGAAAACCGCCAAACTTACCATGCCTTACACTACCCCCTCTCCCATAGGAGCACTGTCCGCAGTGCTAGGTGACTGTTCCTGCGGGACTTGTCTGAACTAAGGCCTGTTGTCGAAAAGGTTTTAGTCTATTGAAGTGTGTGACTAGACTATGAGAGGAATTCGGTTCCTGAATCCTACAGGTGCAGTCACTTAGTACCTCTACTACAGTGAATGGTCCTTCCCAGCGTTTATGGAATTTAAGAGCTTTCCCTTTAGGTGGTGCCTCCTTAAGTAGCATCACCTTGTCTCCTGGCTCCACTGGTGATCCATGTGCTTTCCTATCATAGTATTCTTTCTGGTACCTCTGGTTTGTTTGGAGTATATCCCTAGTCATCTGATGTACCTTGTTCAAGTTTCGTCGAAGTCTGATTACGTGTTCGGATGCAATCAGTGTATCCTCTCCTAGTGTGTTTGAAGTCAGATCGATTGGCAACCGGAGTTCCCTTCCAGTGACCATATTATGAGGCGTTTGACGCGTAGCTTTGTGAATGCTTGCTCTGTATGCCATTAAGCACTGTGAGAGTGATCGGTCCCATTCCCTGGGGTTGTTTTGATCTACAAATGCCTGCAAGAGGGATTTAAGTGTCCGATTGGTGCGTTCAACCAAGCCATTTCCCTGTGGGTGGTACGCGGTAGTGCGTGTCTTCCGGATACCCATTATACGACAGAGTTCGCTGACAACGATACTTTCAAAGTTGGATCCTCGATCTGAATGCAGTTGAAGTGGTGCCCCCCAACGGCTGACCCAGTGGTCAAAAATTGACTCTGCGATGGTTACAGCATCAATCTGTGGTATCGCAATAGCCTCGCACCATTTGGTAAAATGGTCTACCATGACTAAAATATAGTTATTATTTCTGGAAGTTACTGGGAGAGGTCCAACCAAGTCTATTTGTACTAAGTCATTCGGATGGCCAGTTATAATGGGTTCTAAGGGTGCCTTATTATATTTGTGCGGAGCCTTAATAGTTTGGCATACCTCGCAGGAGTCACAGAAATCTATGATGTCTTTCCTCTGGTGAGGCCACCAATAACGTCTTTTAGCCGCTTCAATCATTTTCCCTGAGCCCGCGTGGCCTAACTGCTGGTGTAATGACAATAGTACTGTGGGTAGTGCCGACTGTGGAGCCACAACGCGACGAGTATAAGTGGGTCCATGTTGGTAGTAGAGGATGTCATCGACAATTTTCAGATTATCCCACAGAGACCATAAACACCGGGTTTCCCATCCAAGCTTACTTATTTCCTGGGTTGTCGGTCGTTCGCCTCCATTTCGAACACGTTCGTAAATCAAGGCCAGTTCAGGGTCTGAAGACTGAAGTTCAGGCCAACTATATGAAGTATGAGCCTCTAGTTGGAGCAGCGAAACTTGTGCTTCGGTGCATGATGGGCAGTCACCGTGATACCTAAGAGGTTTTCTTGACAATGCATCTGCATTTCCATGATTCTTACCCGGTCTATGCATGCATTCGAAGTCATACTCTTGTAGGTGTTCTTGCCATCTGGCAATCTGACCCTCAGCTTCTTTGAAGTTATGTAGCCAGCTAAGGGCTTTGTGATCAGTGCGTACAATGAAATGTCTACCGAGGAGATATGCCCTAAAGTGTTTAACAAAATTGACCAGTGCCAGCATTTCTTTCCGCGTGGTGCAGTAATTCTTCTCACTCTTGTTGAGTGCTCGACTTGCATAGGCTATCACCTTTTCTACTCCATCTGCGTCTTTTTGAGACAAAACTGCCCCGATACCAGAGTCGCTAGCATCTGTATCTAGGATGAATGGACCTGCCTGGTCAGAAACATTGGGATACGCTAGGATAGGGGGGCTACATAAACAGTTTTTAAGTCTTTCGAAGGCTTCCGTAGCTGATGCTGTCCAATTGTAGTCTTTCTTCTTAAGAATGTCGAATAGAGGAGCTGCAAGGAAAGAGAAGTTAAGTACAAAACGTCGATAATACGAGGCTAACCCTAAAAAACTATGTAACTCGGGGGCTGAGTTTGGGAGCGGCCAGTCTTTAACTTCCTGAACTTTTGCTGGATCACATTTAATGCCTTCGGCTGAAACAATGTGACCTAAGAAACACACTTCTTTCCTGAAGAATTGACATTTCGATGGGTTCAGTTTTAACCCAACGGTCTGCATCCGTTCTAATACTTCGGAAATATCACTTAAATGTTCGGTCAACGTCTTACTATGTATGATAACATCATCTAGATATACCAAACACTTACCTGGTATGCAATCACTCAAGACCGTTTGCATGAGGCGTTGGAATGTTGCTGGGGCATTGACTAACCCAAACGGCATTGTTTCAAACTCATACAGGCCTGCTTGTACAATGAATGCTGTCTTTTGCCTGTCATCTGGGTGTACTTCAACCTGCCAATATCCCGATGCCAGATCTAGAGTGGTAAACCAATTCGACCCTTCTAAGGCATCAAAAGTGTCGTCTATGCGTGGAAGGGGAAAGCAGTCTCGTCTAGTTAACAGGTTCAACTTACGATAATCTACACATAACCGGAGTGTCCCATTCGATTTCTTAACTAAAACTACCGGTGAAGCCCATGGAGATACGGATGGTTTGATGACATTTTTCTCTAACAGTTCATCAACTAACCTGTTAAGCTCCTTCTGGTAATGTGCAGGTACTCGCCGTGCAGGTTGTCTACAAGGTGGGGCGTTACCCGTTTCTATGTGATGTTGGACCAGTTTTGTTCTTCCCGGGCTTTTTCCATCCCAGTCAAAACAGTCCTCATATTTGTCTAGCATTTTATTAAAGTTGGCAGCCGTTTCCGATGGTAGGGGTTCTATAGTCGTCAGCATTCGCTGTTTCTCATTCTTAGCATCTCCCTGCACGCCAAAAGTGCCGTGCTCTTTGTCGTTCCCTACAATAAATGGGATGGAACAGTCCTTCAGTATAAGAGTCCTCTGACTACAATCTATTATTCCGGACAGCTTTTCCAGGAGGTCGACTCCCAAGATTACCTGCCACGGCACCCGGGTAGAGATGATGAAATTGTGTTGAAGTGACAGTGTTCCCAATTTAAGTGGCAGCAGGACCAGTCCCTGGGATTGCATGCAATCTCCATTGGCTGTCGTAAGCCGCAAATTGTGAGTCCCTATTGTTCGCCTAAACGTCTCTGGAACACATGAGGAATGTATGACAGAACAAGTTGCTCCTGAGTCAACTAACATAACACACTTTTTTCCACCTATATAACCTACAACTTTCGGGGAGGAGGTGACACCGATTAGGTTTACAGTAGGCACACAATTCATATCGACATGTGACTCACCTGCATTGTGACCACAACTCCTAGCAAGCTTACCAAACCGCCTGCAGTAGTAGCAATCGTTTCTTGAAGTGGATTGCGACTGTGGGCGTCCTTTCCACGGTGGTGTAGGATTCTGTGCATGCTTTGTTGTTGTGTGCTGATATCCCATTGCGTTTACTTGTGGGCATGTGGTTCCTGGCTCTTCCAGGCTTTCCACTAGGCGTGCCCTAGCTTCCGCTTCTGCCATGGATGCTGGAGTGTGCAAGTTGAAGTCCTTCCTGTAACGGACGTCGACACCCTGCAAGAACTTGGAATATATAGCGTTTTCAACCTCTGAATATGTCTTGTCCTGCATAGCTTGACGCGCAAGCTTGCGGAGACGTAAGGTGAACTGGTTGATAGATTCACCTTGTCTCTGGTTACACTCGCTGAATCTTTTCAGCGCTTCAATGGGAGGTATTGGTGGCACTATACGTGCTCTTAGAGTACTCAACAGGGTGGTCAAGGGCATATGCACGTAATCCAAACCAATTGTGTACATTTCCAAGGACCGTCCAACAGAATCGATGACGAATGCGTTCGGGTGAGGCACGTTCATCAGATCAATGTATCGGCACACCTTGTCCGACCACAGCTCGAAATCATCACCCACCTCCAGTGTATGCGGCAAGGGATGGACATATCGCGAAGCAGGCTGATTTGACTGAAAAGCTGGAGCCCTCACTTCAGCTAATTGATCCACCTCGTTGGATGCTGTCTCTTTGACAGGCGAAGTGTTCTTGGAAGCCTCATTGGGTCGAGACTTGGAAGAAGAAAGTTTTTTCGTTGGCAGGCTCGCCATTTATGTAATCCCACTCGTCAAGCAATGATCTGAAACAGAGAGCAAAGCGCACGTTAGCAGCGTGATCACACAAGTGTTGCGTGCTAGTAAGAACGAAGACTCAAGGTCAAGTATTATATTTACAACCAATCGCAATACAATTAGATAAGAGGGAAGGGCACTCCTATTGGTCATCCGTTGCCTCGTCTTGGGTAACCAATCCCTGCATACTTCGCAGCCAACCTGAAAGTAGACAAGCATAGTTTGAACATTAGAAAACCGCCAAACTTACCATGCCTTACAAAACCAAGCTTCAAACGTCACGCCTGTTGAAGGTTCGAAATTGAACTCTACAACTGAACTCCCAATAGATTCGGTTTTCTCTGAGTTGGAACTGCCGAGATTTTGAATTGAAAACTGCTTTGTAAGTTTTTCAGTCAACCTGAGCTGGCAAGCTTCAAACTGTTGCTGTTGTTGATGAAGGAGAAGTTGTATTTTTTTCGGCTGTCTGAGAGAAAATTGTCAGTAGTCCATTATCCAGACACGTCATAGGTCCACATACGACATTTGATGGAATAATTCAACGTTTTCCGAACGTTATTGTAACTGGTTTTAGTCATGACGCAGATTATAGGTCAAAAATGGGGAGAAGGCAATAGGTCACACGTCACCGCTTATTACCTAAGCTACCTGCAGCTAAGCTCCCACTTCTTTATTCATGGTATGACAGAGACTATAGCGTCGGACATAACAAAGGATAGGAGAAATTGCTATTAAGTCTCAATTGTCGCAGTCAGCTCAACGACCTGGAAGCGAAAAACGACGCGTATTGTGGTGAATGTCTTCTCACAAGACTACTAACGCTATGAATTCCACGCAAGACACCTCGGAAAAAGGAACCATGTGACATTCTGACTACAACGGAACCACACTCAAGTTCGACCAGCCATACAACGTAAAAGATGGCAAGCTCCCAGGATATAATAAAACGTCTCATTTGACACACTGATAGATACATGAACCCGGGATCTCGGCATGTTTTCACTCAATGTCTGATCACAGAGAACGTACTACATATTCGCACAAATGAATCGAACTGTGCATAATACAGTTAACAATAAATATTCGTTGACACTATAAGTTTACCGAAATGTATGCAAATTTTAAAGGCACGAACAGATATATCATAGGTTACAATCGTTTAATATCCTAATTAATACCCTGTCAATGTATTTGACCTACCGGAGCATGTGTCATATTTACACTCATTGATATTACCTCTCCTTTTTGAAAAGTGTGGAGAAATTACTCTTAATTAGTCTTGTACCTTCGCTTAAATCCTTTAACGACCCTAAACAATTTGCCTTTAAGCACAGTTGAAGCACTTTAGATTCAGCCACCGTCTTATATCACAACATTGCTTCCCGTCTAGACAAGGGGGCTAAATTTGTTCGTTGTGCCTTCCTAGACTATACATCTGCTTTCGACTCAGTCCCTAGGGACATCTTATTAAATATACTTGCTGCAAGTCATACAGAATGTTGGGCTGTTAACTGGTTACATTCTTGTCTCTCAGAAAGAAAGCAGTACACCGTGTATAAAGGGAAGTTTTCCACTTCACTCCCCCAAAACGCTGTCCTATTTCCTTTTCTTTCTCTTTTCTTCTTACCTGACTTGCCTCACTCTCATCAAATAAGCTTTGGGAAGTACGCTGATGACTTAACAGTTTCAATGGCTGTTAACTCCCAGCTAGACTGTACCAAAATCAATAGCTTTCTGTCGGGAGTCAGTAAATGGTCTGAGTCTAACGGTCTTAAACTGAATCCTTCTAAATGTCAAACTGTTAATTTCAGCTTAAGATGTAAAAGACAGTTAAAAGAAGTCATCGATTCTCATGACAGTTGTAAGATTGACGACAATGATATAGGAATCAAATCAGAAATTAAGTATCTTGGAATTATTCTCTCTTCTGATCTCTCCTGGTCTTCCCATGTCTTAGCGATCTCCAGTAAAGTATTCCGCCTGACATTTTACATTAAGAAGTTAAGGCACTCGGATATAACTCAACCATCCTCCTCTTACAGTTCATAAACTCTTCCATCCTACCTATTCTTCTTTATTGTTCACCCTTATTCTTTCCTGGTTTGCTTTAAAAGGACTATGCCACAATTCGTAGAATGATGAAGACTATCAGTAAGGTGAGTGGTGTCCCAGTGGACCACATAGTTAACGTCGTTGTCGATAGGCACTTGTCTTCGAGCAATAAATTTGCTAGAGGGATTTTTTCTGACCTGGGCATCCACTTTACCCTCAGCTTTCACCTTGCATCTCCTCAGGTAGAATAAGAAGTAACTTCAGAAAACTGTATGCTCGCACGTCTAAGTATAGAAATTCTATGATACCATACTTGGTACGTATTTTATGTGATGAAAATAGTGTCAGGCAAGAATTAACTAACCTTTCTCCCTCATCTAGTAAAAAAACGATTTCCTCCATCCATTCTTATATACATTCGAGTTTTACTTTTCTTATTTCAATTGTATTTATGGTTCTGTTGCTTCTTTGTTTTACTCTCATAATTGCAAACACCAACTTATCTCTTTGACTGCTGTAATCTTTGTTTTTCCCTTCACCATATCATGTAAAGAGAACATTATATTCAATATTTTTAAACATGTTAGGATTTCTATTCCGCATTGACAATACTGTGTGAAACAAGCCTGCGACAATTTTCACTTGTATTATTATTACCTCAGCTGTTATCATTATTATTTCCATTTTATATGCTGCATGCTTCTGATATTACGCGTATTGTAAATGCGGAAGATTTTCTGTGTGATTAGTTTTATTTATAATTTGAGGAAATTAGATGAAATATTGTGATTAATGTTGAAAATTCCATTCGGTATCACAAATAGTGTTTTTGGAATAAAGTAAATCATTATTATTATGACTACACCTGTCCAACTTATAATTTATTTTCAGATCACCAAGATATTTTGAAATCCTCAATGAATTACTTGTAGCTATGAAGGATACGGAAGCAGCACTTATGGCTCATATCTTTGAAGCATTTATTATCAAACAAGGGATTTTGTGATGTTCAGGTTACAATGCCTGAGCGTATGTAGTTACTGCAGCAGTTCGACATCGCCGAAATAACTGCGGAAAACTGTCGTGTAAAGACATTTGATTATTATTTTTCATTAAATATATTTCACATCCTGCTGACCATACTTTTCTTATTCTATCTGAGTGAAACTAAATTTGTCATCATGACGAGATGGTGGCCTGACTTATCTATGAGACCTGAGAAAGCAATTGTTGGCATAATTCAATGTAAGCGTTAGCACCTGTAATCATATGGATTGACATCACGCTTATAGGGAAACAATAGTAATGCACTGCTTTTGAATACGCTTGACCTTATACGAAATCAAACTCAAATGCAGTGCCTAAGTTCTATTGTTATTTTTCAAATATGAAGTTAGGTATTATTGTTGTTGGTCCTTACAGATTTGCCTATGGCTATGAAACGCAATCACCTAAATTTATACAGATGTTTAGGCTTGGCTAACATCAAATGTCCAGGTCCAACTACACTGGACTTTACACTGTCCTTAGAAGACTTTCAGGAACTATGAGCAATAACCAACACAAAATGCAGAAAACAGATTGGTGAGTCAAGAACCCTTTATTCTTGCACCAATGTAGAGCCCAACACTAGGTTATTGTACAAAATGTCTAAGAATAAATGTCATAAAAATGAATCACAATATGTAAGTGTAGTTAAAGATTGAACGACCAATTCATGTTTGTTTGCTCAAACCCAACTCTATATTTTGGCGGGAGTCATCGATACTGCAGTCATCGTTCCATCGTTCGCTGTTCGTTGGAAGACGGAGAGAAACTATCAGAAGTATTATTGTGATTTATTTTTATGGCATTTATTCTTAGACTTTGTGTACAATAACCTAATTGTGGCTCTACATTGGTGCAAGAATAAAGGGTTCTTGAATTATCAATCTGTTTTCTGATTTTACGTTGGTTATTGCGCATAGTTCCTGAAAGTCTTCTAAGGACAGTGTGAAGTCCAGTGTAGTTGGACCCGGACATCTGACACAATATTAGCTCTCGTAGTTTCTCACCATCTTCCAGCGAACAGCGAACGATGGAACGATGACTGCAGTATCGATGATAGCCGCCAAATAGAGTTGGGTTTGGCAAATAACCGTGAATTGATCGTTCAATCTTCAACTACATTGACACTCCCGGCAAAAAGGGATCCATCCCTATTTTACATCACAATCAATACACGTTTACTTGGATGCCATTGCGAGAACCTGGGTCACAAGGACAAAGCTGAAACGGAAACCAAACAGAGAAGCCAACAAACCACAAGCATACCCATAGCACAATCACACTCATCGATGACGACCTACACCTTCCAGTTAAAGGCATCCACTTAACATCTTGCAACAAAATCGCCACTTGCTAGAATGACTCTTGCAGAATGCAACGTGACCATACCAGCACCTCATGATACTCTTCGCACATCCTCTTATCTATTCAGTATAAACCACAACTGCGATCGCTTGTCACTCATTCCGCCTCAGTTCTAGTAACGGTGACATATGCAAGCCTCAGTCGCCTTCACTCTCGCTCCCCGGCGTGTGGGACCACAGCCTGAATAGAAGCATTCATTCTCAGCCGTTGATTCCACAGCTAATCCTTATCTCCGTGTGCATGTCATTCTCATCAATAGCCTTCCCAGCGTACACGACCCATCTGCTGTCTCTAACATCAATCAATTCATTCACGGATGTAGAAGACTCGAAACAACTTCAGAAGTAAGCACGACGAAGATTTTAACAGAATTATGCAAAACAATAAGGTACGAAACAACAAGTAAACGCAGTGAATCCAAAACACCAATTGATATGACACACCACACATACACACGAACAGTACACATAACCTCGCAGATCATGTCTTGACGGAATCCCTTTGGAGAATCGCAGGACTTACACCAGTACGCCTACAACTCTCCTTAGGTTGACGATTGTAAGTTGAAGAATGTCCGGACACAAACAAGATAAACCAACAAATAGATGAGAGATGACACCAAATCGATATATACAAAATGAACATATGAACAAAACAACACACTAAGTAAGATGGACTGCGAACCGAAGCAGTACCCTTGAGGAACTGTAGGGCTTACAGCAGTACGCCTACATTCCTTCTCAGGTTGACACCCTAGGTCGGAAAAT